TTTTTTTTTTTTTTTTTTTTTTTGGTACCAGGGATCAAACTCAACCTTGTGCTTGTGAGGCAGGTGTGGTGCCACTGAGCTAAATCCCCAACCCCTTAATGTCAATTTTTAAGAACTTGAAAGAGTTTTGTGTAGAGAATATCCTCTCTGTCTACAGAAAAGCATGGAAAGCTCAAAAACCATTCACAGAAAAAAATTAATAAAATGAGATTGACACTAAAGCCAGAGATGTTTCCAGGTCCAGTGCAAAGTTTTTGAACTTTAGGGTGATGGATTCTGTAAGGACAGCCATCAGGGACCCTGGACAGTTTCAATAACACAATGTAGTCATTCTTCAGGATGTGGTCCAGCACAACACTTAAACACAGGGCTTCTGACCCAGGCCAAATGACCTGGATCCCCATTGAAGTGTGCCTTAGGTCAAGTTTTGTAATGTGAAGTTCCCTATGTGTAAAATGGGGACGGTGACAATAGCATCTACTTCACGGGTGCCTGTGCGTGCAGTGTCTCTGAAGCACTAGACAGATGCCTGGCTCCCCAGTGAGGCACCGCCATCACTCTTCCTACTGAGCTACCATTCACACATCTAAACGAAGCCTCTAAGCCTGGCCTTTCATTCAACATGTGCATATTAGGTGCCGCATTCTGGGTACCAGGAGAAGGTGAGATGCAATCTTGGCTCCATGTGGTACAGGAGATGCTAAAAAACAAAACAAAACAAAAAAACCCTGCAAGACAGCAGATCATGAGGTGGCTACTTCTGGTTCCTGTTGCTGATCCTGGAACAGGTCTTTGGGGCAGTGTGTTAGTCGGTACGACTAGGAAAACACTGCCTCCATACCTCAGTTAGAGCTGGGTTTAACTCTGTTGTCTGAAGGCACTAACTCACTTGATAGTCTTGACTCAAGGTGTGCAAGCCCCTAGGGACCCTCCCTTCAGCCTCCAGCCTTGAGCAAATCTATTTCAGCAGCTTTTCATCCATCAAGGAAAGCTGGGTTAAAGCAAGTAACCTGGTGGCACATGTCTTTAATTGCTAAAACTGCAACTTTTAAGTTCCATTTCTGCTTAGGGAGAGCTTGTTGTCTTTGTAACACTGGTAGGTGCCAGGGAACAGCCACTGTGGAGCCTCCTTTTCTGATAGGAGCGGATACAGGAAGCTTTATTTAATTTTTGTAGTTCAGTATTAGGCATAGGACTAGGAGGCACGTGCAATCATAGAAGTGAATGAGTGAGCCTGAAGTGAATAAGTCTCCTTTACCAGTGATGGACCAGCTTATAGACCATTTTAGATTATGACCATCTATCTTTCAAAAGGAATAGCCCATCACATTAAAAAAAAAATCATCAGGTAAAGAATGGTGAAATACTAGTCACAGATTTGTAGGCTAAAAGCTATTTAGACATAACACTAGATTACTACTGCTGAGGTTCTTAGAGAAGCACCAATTCCCAAAGCCAGAAGAGTTCTGCTGAACACCCTAAGTGTCCAAGCAAGTGCATGGCCCTCACCCAAACATCTCTGTCTTTTCTGTTAAATATGTCTACCGCTAAGGCCCTTTGGCCCTCATAAAGGCCTCCTATAGAGCTGATAATCCTTAGCAGCCAAGAATGTGCTCTGCATACCACCCCTTCTGAAATCTCCTTTGCCACAAGTTCATTTCCCAGTTTCTCTCTTTATGGACACAGGATGTATTTTATGTAACGTCTGTAATCAAGCGGCCCTGACCTTTATTTTATGAGCATTTTTGAGCACTTAGTGGGTTCTGAGGGAGCACTTCTGCACGTCGTCTTCACATCTAGTCTTGCTGGGGGTTAGGAAGATTTCATTATCCCCATTTTACAGAGGAATTGAGACACAGGGAGAGAAAGTGACTTATCCACATCACACATGAGCAAGAGACAGAGTTGGGAGTCGAGCCCAGGTCTTCAGTCTGCATGTCTAGCTGCATTTCCACCACCCATCTGCACTCCACAGCCTCTCGGCCCCTACCAGTACTGCTGTCATCTTCTCCCTCAAGTTTGTGTCTGAGATCCCAAAGCCCCGTGTGAAGGTTTTGACCCAAGGAGGCAGGGGGCTAGGTCATGGGGGAAATAGCGTGGGTGGTATTTCAGCCTCTCCCATGGAGCAGCCCGAGGGAAGTCCCTCCTTCACTACCCACAGTGCTCTTCGGTCCTGCCCACAGCTGCAGTGGGCTGGGCAGGTTAACTTCACGATGGCCGTGAGAGGAACCGGAGTCTCAGAGATGGGCATAAATAAGGAAGAGGGCAGTGAGAACTGTATTTCCTTCTTGGCCACACAGTATTGAGTCCTAGGAGAGTACTAAAGGATACACATTGGGCCAGAAGATTTCTCATAGCAAGCTGAGTGGCCTCTGGGAATCATATCTTTGTGGGAAGAGAAACCGGTGATTATCCTTTCCTGCTTTCCTGGCAGAGATTGGTGGGAATGGAATGAGACTACCCTAAGTCCTGGGGGACCCGTTCCAGGCCAGGCACAGCCATGTTGGGGGCCAAAGCCCCATTTGGCAGAGTCACGTGTGTCTCAGACCAGGCCATGGCCCAGGAGTAAACAGCCTCACCCTGCCCTTGTTTCCCATGCTGTGCCCCGTACACCAAGGCACTAGAAGGAAGTCTCCCTCACTCCACATCATAGAACATGACAGTGCTCAGGATGTCTGCCCGGGAAGAGAGGCCTAGGCTTGGGGCAGCCACCACCCTAGCACGGGGTCCCACTATTGTCTATGTGATACGGAGAGGCTAGCGTCATGTAGCTGGGAGGTTATGTCTGGAGAAGACATGGGGTCTGGAGTTTGGAGACCTTGCACAGGTCCCTTAACCCCTCTGACACCTCCATTTCCTCCTCTGAAAATGCAGTAAACAACTACCTGATCCCCTCTTGGGTTTCCTGACAATTAGAAGACACTACTATCATTGTGGGAAGAAAGTGGAACATGTGCAGAAAGGTCTATAATTTATTTTGTTTTCTTCCTTTTCCTCCCTCATCCCCTATCAACTTTTCATTAATTTTTAAGGTTTTTTTTCTTTTGTCCTGCTACTTTCATCCTCCATTGATGGAAAAGGTTAAATTTTTTTCCTCAAGTAGGCATGTTTTCAGTGCCCACAATGTTTCAGGCCCACGTTTGGTGGTGGGACACAGAAGCATACAGGGCAGGTGACACCCTTGGGTCGTCTCACAGTTTAAAATTAGGATTAGGGTCACGGTTCTCAGGCCAGAGCCTCCTCAGTAAGTGTGATACTCTCCAAAAGCAGAATTGTCTGAACTCAGGCCCTGTGGGAAGCCTCAGGAAGGCAGAAAAGGCCAGGAGCTCTCCTTGACAAGACAGAATCTCTAACAGGCAGTCTGACAGAGTGAGACAGCTACTCAGACAGAACAGAACATTACGTGGGTCCACAGGCTTGGGGATGCCATCTGAGACTTAGGAATATCTCACTGTTTACCTAACCTTTTATTTTCTGCTCTGTCTTCTCCTGGTACTTGGATCCCAGTATTGGTGAAAAAGTTAAATGATACATTTTCATGTTGGAAAGAAGCATATGGTTGTAGTTATAAACCAGAGTCAGGGCTAGAATGCTGGGTTTGAATCCCGGTCCTGCCACTATTAGCCATGAGAGCTCGGGGTTATTTAGCATCTCTGTACCTGTTCTTCCCCACCCGTACACTGGGAACATGACTGTAACAGTCCCTCCCTATAGGGTTGGTGTGAAGATTAAATGCACTGATATTTGTAAGGTGCTTGGCACGATGTTTAGCACCTAGTAAGAATCAAATACTGAGCTTGCTAATCCAAATTTAACAATTGGTCTCAAAACCATTTTTACAAGAATGCAAGGCCTGTGGAAGGTCAGGTGCAACAGGGCTTGGAGAATTCTTTGCAGGGCCCATCACTAATTCTGTTCCACTGCTCTCAGACAACAACCTGTCCTTGCATCTCCAGCTTGTTAGCGCTGATATTCCTGGCGCCCTTGGAGGATATCCATCCAGCACGCACTCATGTAGAAACGCCGCTTTGCAAACCTTTCATCAAGTGTTAGAAAGAAGATGTCAGCCTGATGCAGACACGCCTGGGGGTGGCAGGGAAGAGAGTCGTTCATTTTCAGACCTGTCAAACAAGCAGCTCTGGCTGGTGCTCCGAGCCCAGCAGCTGGAAAGAAGCTCCAGGCAGAGAAAGATGGGCTGCAGCAGGCCACCAGCAAGAGGAGACAGCCCAGGAGACAGGCATGCCTGGGCCCCTGGAACCGGACCCTACAGTGAGGGAAACCTAGACATTATGCTCCAGGACCAGGAAGCAGAGACTGCCTTTTCTCTGAGCACGGGCATCCTCAGCTTTCTGCGAAGGCAAACACAAACTCAGGCTGTGAAGCCTGAGATTGCAAGCAGAGTCCCCGGGGGCCCAGGTCACTGGGAGAGGTGTGTTCAGAATGTCAGATTCCAAATCTGATAACAACAGTGAAGAGCAGGAGAAAGCCAGACTTATCTCCACTGTCTTCACTAACCGGGCACTCAGGCTTCTAGGTGGATCTCTAGGTAGATCTCTTCTCACTTGCATACTCTCTCCTCTGCTTCTACCCACCCTTCCCCTGCCCCTTCCATAGCAGCAGGAGTAGCACTGGTCGTGATCAGAATCTGCAGCTGGCCGGGGAGGTGAGTCACGGAGTTGATGGCGGCCAGAAGGAGCCCTCGGGAAATCTGAACTCACATTTCTGCCGTGCTTATAACCCTGTGATCTTGAGCATGTCATTGAACTAGTCTGACTTGCCTTCTCTGGTCTTTAAAATGTGGGAGGCAGAAGTGAAAGTCCAGGTGGGAACTCAGTGTCCTGGGAGTTGGTCTGCAGGGGGCCTTGTGGTAAAGGGTGAGGGCTGGGAAGTGCATGGCTTAATTACACTGCTTCCTCAGCCTCAGCTGTAAAATAGGAATAAAACTAGATGCTCCCTCTTGGGATTGTTATGTCAAACAAGCAAGTACACCATGAGTGACCATCACCACTAGCTTCATCACACTCAGATGCATTTAGAAGCCACGGAGCCTGCTGGAAGGTGAGTCTTGGCTGAGATAGAACGGAGTGGGCAGGTTATTCAGCCTCTAAGATTCTCCTCCTGTGACACTGGAATTGTGGCCACACACATATCCCAGAGTGGCTTTGGGACTAAAGGAGATCATCTACAGAAAGCCCCGGACACATCTCTATACTGCTTTCCTTTTAGGAGCTGTGAGTGTTCGTGGATGTACATAACCTTCCTCTTTGGTAGGTGGGTAACGGTCTGATTAGGCAATAGCGTATAACTTCTTAGCAAGAGCAAAGGAATCCCAGGAACTGCCTGTGCAGGAGTGAAATTCCTGGACTTGCAGTCAGGCCTCTGGTCCAGGTTACACATCAGTGCCTGCAGGTAAATCACTAACTACAGGGACGGCACCAAGCCCGGGATCTTCTCCGGAAATGCCCTTCCTTTTCCCAGCCTGAGTGGCAGGCTCCTGAGCCCCCTGCAGAAAGACCATGGTTCGGGGGCACCTCCACCCCTACCCCTAGTGCATCATTTCAGCTCCCTCGTGACAAGCCCCAGCTTGGACCCTGGGAGAGGCAGAGCTTCAGGCCCAGGGATATTTGTGTAGGGCGGAGGTGGAAGCACTTTCAGGAGCTTGATTCATTACCGCAGCAATCTCTGTCAAACAGGTTTCGGCAGCTGCAGGGAGGCCTCTTTGTTCTATTGTTCCATAGAGCCAGACAGGCCTCCCCAGTAATCCTGGAATGGAGGGTGTGAGGGGGGAGGCAGGTGGGAGCCCCCTGGAAGCTGACCAGCAGGGCAGTCTCATTGGTGTTCACACAATACCAGGGGTCTGATTCCGTTTGATGGTAGCTTGTAAACCTTAGACGAATGAGTTTCGTTACTATTTTCTCCTCCAGATGCAGGGGGGTGACCAGAGTCTGGGAAAAGAAGCTGAAACTACATGGCCTCCTTTTTCTCTCTCTCTCTCTCTTCTGAAGGCCTAGATCTCCTTGAGGCTTTCCAGCTCTGCAAGTCCCTGCTGGGAAATCTGGCACAGCAGTGGATATTCAAACAATTTAATAAAATAAATGGAGGAAACTCTCAGATAACTTGGAGCATAAGTTTGGGTTTGGTTCAATGGCCTATTATTCAGCCCTAAAAAGGAGTGAAATACTTAAACATGCCATGGATAGACCTTAAAAGGATACGCCTTGGACCAACATGCTAAGTAAAAGATATCAGATCCAAAAGGTCATACAGTACATGATTCTGTTTATATGAAATGTCCAGACTAGACACATGTATGGAGGAGGCTGAGGTCCCTGACAAACACCATACAGTCCCACCTTACCATGCACAGTGGCTCCTGAGCCTGGTGACACACCTCAGCTTCCCTCAGAGCCTTGTAAAAGTACACACGCATGGCGGCACTGTCCCAACAGCCCAGGTGGCTTTGGTGCTTGCAGTCTGGGCACTGTCAGGTTCTGGTGTCCACAACAAGCGACTTATGACCAAGATCTGGCTGCCATGCCAGCACCCCTGAAATTCCTCATCTTCCTTGGTTGATTCTGGGTCGTCACGAGTCTCCTCAAAGACATCTCAGGATTTTCACTTATACTTTGGGGCCTTTATATCTCACCAGACACCACCACAGGGAGGTTGAACCCTTGTTAAATTAACTTTTCTGCACTTTCCTCTCTATAGGTTTTGGAAGAGGGAAGCCAGGGAAAAGTTGTCTAAATTGCAAAAATAAAACAAAGTTACTCATCCATTTATAGGGCCATTTTGCACTTCTTAAATGGCTTGTTTTTCTCACTTTTTTATTATGTAAGGAAATATTTTATATTGTTAAAGGGCACATTTATTATTAGGTTAAAATAGGATACTGATTTATATAGGCTAGATCACAAAAGTGGAAAATAAACATTTAATGTGAACAGAAGTGCACAAGTGCACGCGCACGTACACACACACACACACACTCACACACACACACACACACACACACACACACACACCCTGAAAGGCTGAGATTTTTGGTTACCCTTCTCAGTGCCCAATGCTGCTTCTCAGTTTGAGCCTCTAAGTAGAATGTGTGAAGTTCTCATCTGTCCACACCTTCTCTTCCCTGCGTGTGCACAACTGCAGACAGACTGGGTGCTGATCCGGCGACCACCAGGGGGTGCCCCATATCTTGAGGTCCCTTTGTGGATGGGAGGGGAGGGAAGAGAAGGCAAGGGCTAACAGAGGCTGGAAGTCTGCTCTTACTAAGGCCGTGCAGATTGGGGATTCCTACCTGGGTCACTCCTCTCTGCAAAGGCCACAATGTGGATCCCATTCAAATCATCTTCCTGTAGGAGAAAAGAATCAGAGGTTACACTCTCAGGTGGAGAGATAGAAAGGAAGACATCAGAGGTGGGGATAGGATTGTGGGGGTGCAAGGGATGACACAGAGGGAGAGAGGAACTGGCAGGGTCCACGTTAACGGAACACTAAGAAGTAGATTGCAGGGATGCATGGAATTTTGATCAGGAATTCAAACACATGAATTTACCAGACAGGAAAACAGCAACTATGCACAGGACCATAGCACTCAGTGGGCCTCACTCCCGCTGATCGAGGCAGTGGAACCCATGGCATAAACAGAGAACACCTCAGCAACTGTGAGCTCCGGGTGGTGTCCTTGCAGTCCTTTCTGTTCTGAATCCAAAGTTTGCCAAATCAATATCAGTACTTCCCTGACGAGGGGAAGAGAGAATCTGGAATTTAGGCCCAGGGACTACTGAGAACCGTGGGCATGGCTGTGGGGGCAGGGCAAGGACTGACACTGGAGAGAGTATTTCGAATTATAAGGCAAGCAAGGGGCACATTGTGTTTCCACATCTTGGATACAAACGACCACCTGCCTGTGTCTTCCTGGCTTTCATTATTCCTGGAGAAGGAAGATCAGGAGTTCAGAGGGGCCTCTCTGACAAGAACCGTGATCCTCGGGAGACTGGAACGGGAATATGTGTGAGATGGAGGCATGGGGGCAGGGCCAAGTGAATACTGATTATGGAGGGCACGGGGAGGCGTTTATTGGGCACCTCGAATGTCAGCATCATCCTATGGGGGAAAAAATCTCCAAGAGTCTCAACCTTCCTCTGATCTCCGTCTCCATTTCAATTGATTTTAATGCTGGTGCAATCCTATCTAAATGCTAATTTCTTCCCTTGCGTTTGAAATAGATAAAAACTCCAAAAATTCTATGAGAGATTAAATAGAAAATAGTATTATTAAGAGCAGGAAAGTGGACGCTGCCTTGGTCGGATTCTCGGGGGAATTGAATTTTACAGATATATACGCGTGCGCATGCCAGTTTATTACACAAATCCGACAGCCGCCAGAAGGGGAGGCTGAGGTTTCACTGTTTTACATTCGCTATTATCACCAGACAGAGTATCCCGATCAGTTCTCATTAGGTGACCCTGTGTCTCTGTCGCCTGCCATTAGTTGGAAGTGAGGGCTGTTAACTCTGTGAAGCGGGCTCATTTCTGGGCGCCCTTCTAGATCGCGCTTGGAAATTGGTTTTAGAATTAAGAATCCATATTCGTTTTTCTAAGAGGCTGCTCGTAGTATGCCTGTCATTCCCCAGGCCAACGCAGTCCCTGGATGGAGAGCCGTAACCACGGGACCGAGCCCTCTCTGCGTGTGTCTCACGGATTCAGTGCACGAACCTGTATGGAACACCTGTGAAGAAGCTGGTGCATTCTAGGTAGCAGATATTTGAAGTGATAAACCCACAGAGCAAGAGTCCACAGGCAGCAAGCCCTGAGTGGGGCTACGTTGTGAGAACCCAGTGTAATTGACAAGGAGGAGGCAGCTGACCACAGGACCTAGCCAGCCCAGGGCCAAGCGAGAGCCTTCTCTGATCCCTGATGCCTTCGCTACCCAGATCATCCATTTTGCCTTCAGCTCACATTGCCTTGAAGTTGTCTTTTTAATCCCACGAATCTTCCCCCATCAAGTACACAGCAAGCTCTGAGAGAAGGGATTATGCCTTCCAATAACAACGATGATTAACATGGTCACAATATCTGCCATTTGCCACTTTGTCTAAGTACTCTGCAAATGTCTGCTCTCTAAATCTTAAGTGAAAGTCCCATTTAAAGCTTAAAGAATCAGAGTGATTTACCTAAGGCCACAGAGCTAAGAGTGACATAAGTGAGATTTAAGCCAGCTCTGTCTGGCCTCAAAGCCCAGTGTCACGGTCCTTTCTGGCTGCCATAACAAATACCGTAAACTGGGCAGCTTATAAGCAAGAGACACAGAGGAGGTTTGTCTCTCCCACTTGTTGGGCCTAGGAAGTCCAAGCTGAAGGCACTGGTAGATTTAGAGTTAGATGAAGGCTTTTGGCTGCTTTCTACTTCATACACGGTGCATTCTTTCTGTGTTTTCCCAGGTGAAAGGAAATGGCTGGCTCTTTGGAGCGTCTTTTATAAGGGTGCTATTCCCAATCATCAGGGTTCTGCCTCATGACCTGAGGACCCCTCAAAGTCCCCACCTCCTAATAAGACACCTTGAATGCAAGGGTCGACAGTGTTGATTACGCTCAAAGCAGGCTATAAGCCGTGCAGGCTGTGAAGAGTTAAACCCGAAATTGACTTGCTTTCAGAAGCAAGTCTGGCTGAAGCCTATGTGCCAAGGTCAGAGTAACACACCCAGATCCCCTTCCCCCAAGCTAAAACCTTCTGACTAGGACAGTGTTCTAACCATATATTCTTTCTATTCTGTTTCTAATTCGGGAATGCTTTGTCTTGTCTTTTGTGAGCCTTGTTTATATTAATTTCCATAGGAACTGCAAGATGGCTGCCCTTGCACATAGCTCACCTTTACCCCAATTGATTACCAATAAAAATCAGTGGCTTGGACTGGCCAGGGCCTTTGTTAGTTGTACCAGCACCCTGCTTTCTGTGTCTCTTACTTCTGTCTTTTATTTATTTATTTTTCCCTCGGGCTGCATTGTACACTGGGCAGGAGACTGGAACCTACTGCATATGTCTCCAGTAAGGTTTCAGGGATCCCCAGGATTTGAGTGCTAGGATTTCAAATTAGGAATTTTGGGGAACTACATGCAGTTAGACAGTGGCATCTGGAATTGATTGTCCCTTGGCAGGATTTTTAGAAAATGTAAACTTGTATCAGTAGTTCTTAAATTTAAAGAGACTAAAAATGGGCCTGTAAATAAATTGAACATGCACTAGATCCCCCAAAGACCTGAAGATTTGGGGGTTACTTTGGTGATACCCTCCTCTGATGCACCAGCCTTCCAATGCCACTCTGTCACAGCACTGAGCACAAGAGGCTGCTGTTTCGTTTCGAGACTGCTTCCTCCACCCCGTCACAAGATCCTAAGAATAAGTCAGCAACGTTCACTTTGATAACACAATGTAATAGGTTCTTATTAATATCTGTTGGCTCAAAAGAAGAGTGTGGCCATAAAAACCTTACACGCTCATCATCAGAGAAAATTAGAAAATAGAGTGACGAGAAAGATTAGCATCATTACTTATTTACCAACAAGATTTCACCACTGTCAATATTTCGCTCTATTTTTTTCAATCTCTATTGAAGGTTCTTGTGCTGAATGAAGAGACACAAAGAAAAAAATGAGTTCAGACTAGCAGGCTCCCTAACCAAGGGGCAACAGAGTGGCCTTGAGGAGTATGACAGACTGGCTCAAGAGCACCCTGTCTCACCTGGATATTCTTTGAAAATTATAAATACCTACACACATATATGCACACTCTAGAATTTATAGACAGCAAATATTGCTAGGCACCAATCTTTTAGTAATAATATGTGATATGTTTTCATACGATCTGTTACTTTAAAAGTCTGCACAGTTAGGGGAGAGAAGAAAGGTAAATAGTTGCTTTAGCCTAGCTAGCTTTCCTACTTTATTTAAATATTTTGCAGTGTTTGAAAAGCAAATGTTGAAGATAAAGACTTTAAAGTTCATTAACTGGTCACTTTCCACAAATCTGTGGTTTACATTCTTGCAGCCAGTGCTTTTGGGCAGTGCCTTCCAAGGTGGGCCTGGAGAGACAGGAAGGGGAACTGGGGAACAGCTCCTCAGGAATCCCTCTGGCCTCTGCTTCTTCTTTATAAGGATGCAACAGTGGCCGTGAAGGAGCCTCCCTGACCTTCCTTCCTACTTAGAGATGTGGATGAGGGCCTGGTGTGGTCTGGTTAGGGCTTCTGGGAAGTCAGGTGGCCAGTGCGGAGTGGGGTGCTGTACAGAAAGGCACTCTAGTTGTCTCCTTCTCTACTTAGCTGAACTTAATGCACTGTTTTTCCGAGTTAAAAACAAACAAATACATAATAACGTGAAAAATATGAGACATCACTGTTATTTTATATTATAGCAAAAGGCTGAAATTTATCTTCTTAAATGAAAGGAAAACAAAGAGTGAAGGTAAACAGTGAGATCCCTCTCACCATCTGCCTCTGAGGTGAGGAGAGGATTTCTACAGTAGGCCTGGTGAGTGTTCAGAGCACAGGGGAGCTCCAGCCATGGAGGTCACAGTCACGGGGTGACACTGAAATGTCTGTGGGAAAGTCCAGGAGAAGGAAGTGTCCCACATGTGTGTTCTCTCCCTGCCTGGAGATAATAGTTAACTGTCTCTTGGGGAAAAAGAAAAAAACAAGCAATGAAGGAAAAAAGAAAGAAAGAAGAAAGAAACATGGCAAAACAGAACAGCAATATTTGCTCTCAATTTAAAATTGTATTCTCTGGCCGGGGATTTGGCTCAGTGGTTTGGTGGCCTGCCTTGCAGGTGCAAGGGACCAAGTTCAATCCCCGGTACAAAATAAACAAACAAACAAACAAAAAATTGTATTCTCTGTCATAAAAGACAAAAAAACTTGTTCAAGATTAAAGGAAACTAAAAACAAAACAAAACAAAACCAAAGACCCAATAATATCCAAATGCAAGTATGAGATCCTGCATTGGATGGTGGGCTGAGGGGTGGGGGAGGTTTTCTCTTGCAATAAAGGACATAGTGGTTTAACTGAGTAATAAAATGTGAGTAAGGTCTGTAGATCAGAGAGTTGAAGTATATTAGTGTTAACTTCCTGATTTTGATCATAGTACTGGGGCTATCAGAGAAAACTCTTGCTCTGGAAAACACGGAGTATTTAGGGATAAAGAGAAATTCTATCTATTCACTCTGAAATAGCTCTGAAAAAGTATGTACGGGGAGGGGAAGTCAAGATAGTAAAACGTTAACATTTGGGGAATCTGTGTGAAGAAATAATGGAATGGAATTCTTTGTACTATTTTTGTAAGTCTAAAGTTATTTTAGAACAAAAAGTAAAAACAATTTTAAAAAAGGAATATGTTAAAGTACTGTTGTACCCTTTGTTATTACTATTTAAATTTAGTAACAAGACCTTTCAAAGGTTAATTTTTTGAAAGGCTAAATGTTAGGAAACTATGTTTCCATTGTGCTGGTTGCTCTTAAATAACATACACCCTTAGACTCATTATTTATCCTTCAGTCTCTTGTGAAATGTTTGCTCTCCTTCAGAAATCCAAGTAAGTTATAAACCAGCAGTGTCAAGTTACTCTCTAGTTCTCTTCAGCCATTGCTTCAGATTATGATTTAAAGAACTTCATAAACAAATGCTCCCACATTAGTCCTTTCCCCCCAACACCCCTAACCAAAATGACCCTCTGTGAGGACACAGTCACTTGAGGAAAACACACTGGACAGAACATGAGATTTGGCTCCAGGTGGCCTTAATCTAAGCCCTAAGCACTAATATCCATACGTCCTTGAGTACTAATCTGCACCCTCATCAGTTTCTCCATGTGTAAAATGGGCTAAAATGATACTTGTTCCTCATCCCTATGTGGAGCGATTGTGAGTTCCATGAAAGGATCCATGAAATGCCTTGGAAAGAAAATGCTCCAGAGTTATTATATGGTTACTACTGTTTATGGGATTCTGAATAAATCTAAGGTAGGGGTGAGAGGTGTGTCTCCAAGGGAGTCTTTCTAATACTGTCTGCATCACTTGACACGTCTGTGACACACACCTGCAGCCTAAGCCATCTTGATTACTTTCCAGTGCCTTCAGTAGATTTCTTGTTTAAGAGCTACCATGCGAAACCTACCACATTCTGAACTCTTCATCTCATTTATGCTTACAAAAAGTCCTGATTTTAGATGGGAAAACTAAAGTTCAGAAAGACTATATGACTTGATGTAGGTCACAAAGTTACTAGGTGGCAAATCCTAGACTCTATGACTGTACCCCAACCTGAACTAGGAATTTGCAGCCTGTGCTCCTTCCAGCGTGTCCCACTAGATCTCTGGTGGCTCGTGAACAGAAGCTAGCAGTTCCCGAGGGAGTCAACAGGGAGTTGTACCAAACAGGCTTAAACTGGGTCTATGGAGAACTGAGTTTAAATGAGCAAGCTGCTCATACCATCTCGACTTCTAGCTCAGCCAAATGAGACTGAGTCTGACACTTGGAATTTAATGAAAAGGGCACCCTTGGGGATATGCTCATCCCTCTGAGGAAGAAAGAATTCACTGCTGTCTTACCCATGTTTCAAACATGTCTTCTGGCCGCAGGCGACGGAGTGTGGGTCTGAAAAAAAGGAGGAGCTTCCTTGAGTAAGGCTCACCAGTGGCAGAGACTGAGCCTCAGCCCTGGGAAAGGTAAACAAGAGTCCCCAAACCCACTTCTTCCCTAAGGAAGTAGAGCTGCTTTACGCTGCTGCATAAAGAGAGATCTAAGCCCAAACCGCCAAACCTGTCCCTAGACTCATTTGATTCTGGGCAGATCAAGCCCTTTACAAACAATGGGTCAGAGGTTCAGGGTTGGTTCATTCCTAGGGCAAAGAGGGGTTCTCTCTTCACAGACAGGCACCATTCCTGAGAGCGCAGAGCAGGTCTCAAAGGAGGAAACTGTAGAAAGACAACAGGAAGTCTGTTGTTCCAGACCAGAACAGCTACTGATTTATAAGGGGGTCAGCCATCAAAAGCACCTTGGAAATCCTTAGGGTGGGGGACAAGTAGGACCCATATTTTGATCATAGTTTCATATATCTCTGAATATTGGCAAATGCTGTGAGGCTTTTTGTTCTCTTTTGTTTGTGGTATTTGGCATTGATCCTAGGGCCTTGCACATGCTAGGTAAGTATTTTGCTACTTGGCTCCGTCCCCAGCTGGTGAGATATACTAGTGCCTGTTTCCTCGTGTACTGCCTCCTTACAGGGACTAGCACTCTCTATACACAGGGACCACAGTGTGCTAGGTTCAAAGACCACACTTGCACACAGAGAGGGTGGGGAAGGCAGTGAGCTCACGAGTGGTGTACACGTTCCCATACTTGTTCCTTAAGAACATATCAGCAGATTACAGCTGGTGGGCCAAATCCAGCTGGTGTTTTGTTGCTATAAATAAACTTTGGTTGGGACATAGCCACACCCATTTGTTTACACAAGACCATGGCCGCTTCCTTGCTATAAGGGCAGAGCCGGGCAGATGCAGAAGAGGGCACCTGGCCCTTAGAGCCTGAAATATTTGCTATTTGGTCCATCAGAAGAAAAAGTTTGCGGATCTTTGCTGAAGTCACTGAATCGTATCAAATATTGCTCTCCTAGAAGTTATATGCACAGATGTTCATCTTTGGCTAAGTTGTTTAACTATTCTGAGTCATACTCCTTGATTTTTAAAATTGGGATAATATTACCCCATAAGATTGGAGACAAAATAAAGTAGCTCTCATAAAGCCCCCAGCATAGTGCTTGACATACAGGAAGCTTTCTCCTACACTGCTGTCACTGCCAGTGTAGAATTTTACCTAAATCTCACTCTGGCTTGGAGGAGATTTGCTAACTGAGCAGAGGCAGTCTAACCCTGCTTGCAAGTGTAGATTCATGTTTGCAAATAGCAATACAGCTACCATTTATCAATGAGCAATATTCTGCCTGGGGTACTTTAGGTTGTTGCTCTTGGTGGATCTGAATTATCAGACCAAGAGGATCTTCCCCATTCCCCAGGCCCCAGGCTCCCTTCCCCACGTGCCATCCCAGGCACCTCTGGTGTTCTTTCACAAACTCCACGAGCTCCTCTTCTGTGTAAGGTTTGTTGGGGATGGAAATGGGCTCATCCATAAATGGCTCATAGAAGTCAACCTCATTCATCTTCAAGGACAGTTTCTTTGCAACCTAAAACAGAAATGAGATAATACTTTATTTGAGTGCCAGTCTAGAGCCATGATGCCTTGTACATCCACCGAGGTGTGTGTGTGTGTGTGTGTGTGTGTGTGTGTGTGTGTGTGTGTGCTTTCTGCAAAGACACAAAGTATATAGATAGTTTCGAGTTAATGTTAAGTAACACAAATTTATCACCTATGGTTTGGGTTGGACCAATTGCTTTCTGTGATCAAAGAAAAAAGAGAAGGAGAGAAAGAGGGAGAGGGAGAGGGGCAGGGGGAGGGGAGAGAGGTAGAAATAAGACATCTGACAAATGATGGACAAGTAGGAGCAGGGACCAGCTGAAATGAAAAGTAAAGGATATCATTCTACATTCATTATCACTCTACCTTCTTTTCTGGGGCTGGAGGAGGAAGTAAATGCAATGGAACACATTGTATGGATTTAATTGAGCCATTGTGATGGAACAAGCTATTGGTGGAAACCTTTACAGCATACAGGTACACAGAATTGGAAGTCAATCTATTAATCTACACTTGATCAGCTCATAAATCCTAACTGCTGTTTAGGTTAAAGCGCAAGCCCTGGAGTTCAAGCTGTCAGTTCCAGGCTTGCTCGGCGGTTTGTCAGGTTTTGGGAATTACCCAACTTGTTAACAACCACAAGGTGACCAACTATTCGACTTTGTTCAGGGCAGGGGTGTTTCCTGGGATGTGGAACCTCAGTGTTAAAATCTGGACAGTCCCCAGTGAGCCAGGATGGGTGGCTCACTGTACAGCAATTAAAAATCCCTGGGAAACCAGCCCACAGCCCGGAAGACTTTCTCTCCTGATTAAAGCGGCCACATGTCAGTCTGCTGTCGAGGCAGAATGGTTGCTGTGTTCCCCTGCAAAGCCACTGAACTCAGGACCTCCTTTTGTGACATGATTTGAGAGGACTGGAATGTGCAGTGCTCAATAGAAAACCAAACGCCATTCTTCTCTTGCTTGGAGCTGCGGTCCAAGAAAACACAGGGATGAACAGTGGCTCCCTTGAAATGGCAGAGGCATTGCCTAGGAGCTGGGGCCCCGTTGTGGTGAGTACAGCACAGCGACCTGGTGACCCAGGGGCTGTGACCAATTGGGGAGGGGGAGGACCTGGGTGTTACATAAGATCTTACACAACGAGGTCCATTCTGAGGAAACACTTATGTCCAGATGGCTTCTGTCATTAATTGCTATGAATTCCAGGTCACTACATTCCAACAGACATTTCTTACAGTCCTTAGGAGGAAGAAATCCCAGCATCCTGCTCAGAGAGAAAGAAGATAGGCCCTATGAAGAGCTGCAGTCAGTCAAAGAAGACTTTACTGTCAGACTGATTTTGTTTTAAGCAAGGGAATTGTGGGGATTTTCTTACTGCTTCTCCCCTTCTCTCAGAAGGATGCTTTGGGGATTGTGGGGTGGTGAGGCAGGGAGGTGAGGAGGGGTGGGGGAAGCAAACATCAAGGTTTGCACACAAGTCTTTCCAAAGCTGGGTCTAAGGAGAATAGGCTTGAAAATGACATTGGCCTCTGGTCTTTTTGAGTTCATTTACTCTTCTAGGAACCAGGAACATGTGTCACTACAAAATGCGAAGTGATTAAATAAACAAAAATAAAAATAATAGCCAATACACAAATGCTTACAATTTCAAGTGTTTTGGTTAGATTATTTAATTCTCATTTGGGTTGTATGAAGTAAGAACTATTATTATATTTATTTTATAAGTGTGAGACTCCACTGGGGGAAGCAATTCCTCCAGATCATATATCTGGAGGGGCACAGCCAGGAGCCAGTGAAGCACTCCAAACCTCCAGTTTGTCTGTATTCCTATGTTCTTTTGATATGAAAATTACCTTCTCCTTAACAGTGTAAACAAAGGGAAACACACACCTCCTTGTGACGTGAGGTACATGGTTCAGGGAGATGTTTTCTTGCCCTTCTTGTATTTGCTCTCATCAATTCATCTGCTATAATTCAAACCTCCTGAAGGTGAGAGAGAGACCTGATCAGAACTACTATCAAGGCAAGTAGCCCTGGCAAGCCTCTGTGAATGTGTGTGTGTGTGTGTGCGTACGCGCCCACGAACGTGTGCATATGTATATGGTGGTGATGTTCTCTGGTCCCTGATGCCAGTATCTGGGTCTGAGTGTTAAGTGTATAAATGGAAAATTGGAATGTCATGTGCTCAAATTTAAGTCTTGGGAAATGAGTAAACTTGTACAGAGTTCTCCACTTTCTCCACACTGCCCTCCTGGAGTGCCCTCACCTTGTGACTCAGAGGAAGCCTTTCTTAGGTTCTTGTAACTGTGCCTCAGATGGTAAAGACTGCAGGAGATCTGACTGTCTGGAGCACTTACTCATTCATTTCATCAATAAGTGCTCAGTGGAGCCTTCTGTATATGAGGCACTGTTCTAGGAACAGATGTGATTCGTGGACATCGAGATTAAATAAGAATGCATTATACTATCAAAAGCCGGATAAGCTCATAAAAACGAGTTTATCCATGCTTTCTTGTTCTTTAACTGGTTAGAAAAGATATGAGCAAAGGGAAGAAAGCTGCAAGTACATTGGTTCTTTTCTTAACATTTGCATATGCATGAATTTTGATACAGGCGGTTTTTCTACAAGTTAGGAAGCCCATTCAGATGTTACCATGAAAAGCAATTCAAAATGAATTTGGCCTTCTAGACATTGCTCTTCGACTTTTCTTAGTGTATCACAGCTCCCTTTGGGCCACAGTGTGATGAAAAAGAGACAATAATTTTTCATTTCACTGATCCTAGGCAGAGAAAGGAGCAGGCCAGTGAGAAGTGATGGGAGATCATTAGAACTGGCATTTTTCAGGCTACCAGGTGTGGCAGAGTGGGTGCCATGCTTGGCTCCAGGCCTCTCTTGTCTGAGATGTTTCTCAGAGGGATTGAGCCTTCATGTGGCTCAATTTAGGACCAGGATCAGTAGATTAGGTCCTAAATCTGTTCATCCTATGACACTTCCTGGAAGGTTTTTGAAAATGGAGTTTTTTTAAGACTTTATCACAACTCTGAAAAAAAAAATCTAAATTTCTAGGAGTGAGCCCACAGATCAAGGCTTTTAAAATCTCCTTGAGGATACCGGTATTGACAGGGTTCAGCAGTTACTGACTTCCAAATCTAAATCAGCAGCTTTGACTCCTCACCCTTTCGACAGTTCCCCAGTTCACGATGTATTTCTTGGTTTGCTTACGTCTTCACTTTCTCTCTTTCCATCTTCTCCCCCGTACTGACTCTAAATTTCACAAGGACTAGGACCAATTTTTTTCAGTGCTGTTTGTACCCCTGACATCTGGAAGAGGGCCTGGCACATTAGAGGCATGCAGCAGATGCTTGGGGAGTGAATGGGTGGGTGCGAGCCACCTCTAGTTGAGTGTTTCCTTAACTTGTAAAAGTGTAGGATTCATAACTTCCTCTTACGTTCTTCAGTAGTTTCTTCTTCCCAGATTTCTTAATGTTTTCAGTAGCTTCCCAGGCTTTTCTGATCTGAGATGTGTCGGTCTTAATCTTATTTTGGGGTCTTCTTTTTCTCCTTCATCTCATCAATGACCAAGTCCTCTTGTCACATCAATGTGTGTTATTTGGGTTTTTCGTCTTTGTCACTACGTGACTGCTTCCTTAGCCCTTGTTTCTCCTGTTTGCAAACCTCTACCAACCACCTCCCAGGCCCTCTGAGGTTCCCTAAGGAGTGTTACACAAACAGGTCCTTTCAGCCACCTCATGACATTCTTCATTCTACCCTTCTTCTGCTCTGGCTCCCCCTGCTGGATGTTACTGAGGCTGCAACCATGCTTTGTGGACTTCACTGTCTCCCTTTGGGCACTCCTCCCCCGCTGTGGTAGGTGCAAATCCCAGCTGGTATCTCAGTGTCCTAGAGCAGCAGCCTTTGTGATCCATACGAAGCCAGAGACAATGTGTCTCTTTTTTTGAATGTCACGAAATCCCACAAGGCTATATGAACAGTGGCACTTATGACTCAGTGTCTTTCAGAGTTTTTAGCAAAGCAGCTTTCAAAGTTGTTAATTATAGCCTGATCTCACCTTCTTCATAGGCCACAGACATAAAACCATCTAGTTGGACTGAAAGACACTTCTGAGAACAAGTACTACCCTGAAATCAGAATCAAACCACCCATCTAAAAATGAAGACTTTGTTGCTTGGCCAAACTCATTTACCTGCCTTTCTTCCTTGCAGGGCAGCAAGCCTTTAGCCATACCTGGCCCATCAGAACCAAACGCCAGTGATGAATTCAGTGTAGGTGTCTGTGTTCCTTCCTCTAATACCCTACTCCAACCTCCCATCGTCTTGGGCCTGGATGACTCTTTTCTTATTAACAACAGTTTGTATAGCTAGCTGGTATTTTCTGAGTGTTTATGATGTGCCAAACATCAGCTAAGAATTTAATCTATGTTGCTCCCTTCTCTGGATCATGGTAGCACCCAGCATTGACTTTGAAATTAGGCCAACCTGAGACTACACCCAGCTTTACTATTGCTATGTGACCATGAGCAAATCACTTGATCTCTCAGTGTCTTACATTTACCTGAGGAAGGAGAACCTAATTCAACTCTTATGAACTTGTTGAAAGGATGGAATGAGAAAGCCTATGTAAAGCTCTAAGGACAGAATCTGGCACATAAACACTTAAATGATAGTTATTAGTGTTTGGGTATTCTTGCTCAAATCTCTCCCAACTCTAAAATCCAACCAGGGTAAACTTGCTTCAAGTTTATATTCCATTACTTAGATTATAGACCTTTCATTCTGGGTTATAAGCTTGAGGACAGGTGCCAGAGCCACAGAAATATATATGAATCAAACGTGGTTTTTCACTGGGCCCTTCCCTGCTCCCACATCTGTTAGCCTCTCTTATTTTTCCAGAATATCTGAACACACCCCAGCATAAAGGCCATGAGCACTGCTCACCAACTGCCTTGCCACCCAACAGGCCACTTTCTGATAAACTTTTCCTTGTATTTGAGTAAAGAGTTGATTTGACTTAAATTTATTTGTTCTATCAAATATAATAACTTTGTTTTTCAGTTGGGGTGTGTGTGTGTTACCTGTATTGGGAAGTGTGTGTGTGGTGTATGTGGTTGTATGTGTTATTTGCGGAGTGTTATGGCAGGCACAGGGTCTTCTATCTGAGGTCACAGTATAGAGGCAGGGTTAAGGGCATAGACTGTCCTAAATTAGGGTCTCAGGACTACCATTAATTCACTGGACACCTTGTATATTATTTAACCTTTGCAAGTTTGTTTTCCCATATGACAAGTGGGAGTTTTTACCCTTCAAAGTTTGCAGGGTTGGGGACAATATAGACACAATAAAGTCACCCTTAGGTATGCACAGGTGATTGGTTCCAGAGCACCCCGCGGACACTCGAGTCCCATATTAAAGGTAATGTCTTATTTGCATATATTTGTTATCTATCTCCTACATAAGCTTTCAATCATTTCTGTGTTACTCACAATACCCCATACAATATAAATGTTATGTAAGTAGTTATTAACCTGCTTAGGGAATCATGATAAGAAAAAGTTTGAATGTGTTCTGCACAGACATACTTGTTTTTGGTTATTTTCTTCCCTCAGGTTATTCCATCAGTGGCTGTGGAAGTCCACAGACATGAAGAGTTGACTTTTTATCAGACTGTGCCCAGCACACAGGAAACACTTAATAGATAGTGGCCATGTTAGTAATAACCGGAACTAGAGTGACTGCTCTGCTGCATAGACTCCAAATAAATCACCCATGGGTTCATGATCTCTTGGTCTCTGCTGCTCTTTTGTTTATAAAATCACTTGTTCCACTCAGATAAGAAGACTGGATTATAGGAAAATATACCAGCAACATTTCCTCGAAGTAACTTTCCAAAGCACCAGGGCTTCAGATTATCAATGTTTCTCCCTGTTCAATTTCCCATCCCACTACAGAAGAAGGAGAAGGGTGCAACCCCAGAAAGGGAGAGGAGAAAAAGGGAAGGGTGGACCACCATGCTCTGGGCACACATGCTTCCTGCTCGGGGTATGGGAAAAAGAAGGTAGGCTGTCACTTTTCTTTGGGTATTTTTAGAGATTTGTTGATGTTCTTTGAATCATATTTTCAGTCATCTCACATTCTAACAGTTCTGGAGAAAGAGACAAAGGAGGATGGTCGATGTTGTTAAAAGAAAAGAACAAGAGGTAAAAAGTTCCAAACTTTGATCCTTTGTGCCTAGAAAACTACTTACACCTTTGTCAAAGGTGGCAAAAAACTTGATGTAAGGTTGGAAGTGTTCAGCTGCCTCTTCAAAAGCTTTGTAATCTAGAATAAAAAAAAAAAAACAATTTGAAGAGGCATACTGCAGACTACTCTTTTAAATGACACACAGAGAGTAGGAAACCAATTAATCCTGATTGAATAATTAGTCAGCAAGTAGTATTTGGATAGCGAATCATTTAGTACTATTTAAACCCATAGTTTCCCCGAAGGAGTTTGAATGTATTGGCCTTCAATTGTTAAAGAGATATCTCCACCACCCTTTTATGAAGTTGGAAAGCAGAAAATAAGAGAAGGGAAAGAAATACAAGGAAGGAAAAAAAAAAAAAGACAAAATTCTACATCAAAACAGATGGTCATTCTAGTCAAACTTACCACTGCTTAAAAACATAACATTTCGAGAGAGTACATTTTGCTGTATAAATGAGCCTAAATAAGAAAATTCACCCATGTAAAGGAAACTCAACCAGAAAAGACATCACAGAAGTATTTTAAGCTTCTTGTCATGAGTATCCCTGTTGGTGAATCCTAGTTTTCTTTCCTTTTCTTAGTTTTTTTTTTTCCTGATTTTTTGGAATCATTTAAAATCAGTCAAGCCTGTGCTTGACTCTCTGGTCCCAAACTCTAGTCCAAACTGTCAAGGCAGGCATGCAACCATCTGAGTGTTTTACTTGGTTACATCTAGGCAAGTTCTGTACTCCGTAAGAGAGCCATATTCAAGCTTGAGAAGTGTGGGTGATGGTAATGGTGATGGCTGTGGTGATTCTGAATAAATCCTATGATTCTAAGAGTCCTCCAGCCTGTAACTTATTCTAATAAGATCAGCTTTTTTCCATTTAAAGGAATCATCAGAAGTATAGCTTTTGCTAGAATTCTGGGACCATGAAGAACCTTTTAGGGTTCCATACAAACTTACGTTAGCATAGTGCTGCCTCCAACAATCTGATTTCCAAATACTCTCAGCCCAGAGAGGACTATGGGCTCTTAAAAGAGTCAGTGCAGTGCGACAGTTGCTCTAAAAGAAGTGACAGCAGCAAGCACTTGAGAGAGGGGCTGAACATTGACAAGAACATGGGTACCTACTGCTAATATCTACGCATCCAAACTCATTCCACAGAAGTCATAAAGTCAGAAAAAATATCAGGCAGCCTGACAGTTGGGGTAGAGGACTGGCCAGACGGGAGAAACACAGGTGGGAGCATTTGGAGAGCAGGCGAGTGAAGGTGAGGAAGGAAATGGCTGGAGCTACTTCCAGGCGCACTGGGCCCCATCAGAGTCACAGTGTTTCTGATAATATTCCCAGAGTCCATGATGAATCTTTTGTCGCCCAGATGGAAGGACAGCTTAGACCTGGGTCAGAGCCTCCTTCTCCCTGAGGTCCAGTCTGCATCCCTTTTAAGGTGAAGGATGGAGCAGGGTGACTCTCTGGTTGTTAGTCGGAAATGTGTTTGAGCCTTTAGCCTCACCCTAACAGCAGCTGTCTGCCTGGATATCTGGTCCTGTTGCCTGCTCGACAGTGCCTAAGATTAGCTGTTCCTCACCGACCTTTCCCATCCTTCAGGATTTTCCAGACAGGATTTAGTACCTCAGACTTTAGCAACTGGGTGTGGTGAATACAGCCAGTTAAACCCCTGAGAAGAAACACTTGAACTAATATCATTTGTCTTACAAAGAAGAAGCAGGCCATGTGGTTAGGGATGAAACCATCAAAGAAGCAGATGAATACATCGTAATAGACTGGAAAAACTGCCTGATCTGTGTGCTAGTGTCGTGGTTGCAAAGACAAGAAGGCGTGAAGATGTTACATCAAGTTCTTTCTGAAAATCTTGAGATCCATTGGTATTAATTAAAATATTTATTAAAAGCTCTGTCATATAAAGTTTTGCATGTGAATCTGAATTCCACATCCAAGGTTGTTATAAAAAGGCAACTCTAGCATCTAAGCCTACATAATCGCTTTTCCTTTAGCTTTCAGGGAAGAAGCAGATTGAGAAGCCCTTTCCTTATTTAAAGACAATTTTATGAGGAGTTTCTCAACTATGAAGTGGATCGAAAAATAAATTGTGGGGCCGGGGATTTAGTTCAGTGGTGCTGTTGCCCACCTTGCAAGCTCGAGGTCCTGTGTTTGATCCCTGGTACGCACCCCACCCCGAAAAAATATTGTGCATTATACTCATTTTGAAGGATAATTATTGGCTAAAAATCCTGGGCTCTACTGAGCACTTGAATACACTTCATTGAAATTTGAAAGAACCATGTGAATTGTATCATGTACCGACAAGGTTTATTCATTTAAAAGTGAAAAAGTTCAACTTTAAAAAGAAAGTTTAAATGACTCACTAGTAATTTTATCATTTCAGAATTTAAGAATAACTATCAAGACCCACAAAGTAATAACTGTTTACATTTCTAATGAAAAGCCTTATTTTATTTTAAATATAAAAAGATACAAAACTACTTCATTGGCTTTTCAATCCAATCAAGTCATCATCACAAGAAATCTGAGAATTGTATTTGTCAAGGAAAAAGCATGGTGATAAATTCAGGGGCATTCACGTCCTTGAAGGACAATTTAAAGATTGAGCTATATCTGAATTATAGCTGGTGGCAAGGAAACATTCCTCAGCCAAGCACACAGCAGTGAGGGCTGGGGGTGCGGCTCAGTGGTAGAAGGCTTCCCTAGCAAGCTAGAGGCCTGCAATCGATCCACCAAAGAAAGACTGTTTATTCACCTGCCACCACCCATATATACATGTGGTTCATGGTGACTAACAAGATTTTAAACAGCTCTTCACTTACAACCTTGCTCAGGAATTGCTTAACTCAAACAGCCACGTCCATGTTCCAGGGATTGAACTCGGGTCCTTGTGCTTGTGAGGCAGGCGGCAGAACCACTGAGCTAAATCCCCAGCCCCTGAAAAGCTGTGTTCTTGGAAGCCAGGTCAAAATTCACATTCAAAATCTACAAACATTTTTACTTGGAGAATTTTTACGATGTAATATGTGATATATTTCCCATTTTTGTGTTTTATTATCATTATATAACATGAAGTAAGAAAATAAAAAGTCTCGGAGCTGGGGATTTAGCTCAGTGGTTCTGGCACCTGCCTGGCAAGCATAAGGACCTGAGTTCAATCCCCTGTACCCCCCGCAAAAAAAAGTCTCTAAACCCAATCCCCTTCCAGTGAGCGTCCATGCGGGAACTCGAAAGTCAGTCTTGGAATTTAAATGGTGACCCCCAGCATTTGCTAGCTGTGTGGTAGTGCGTGGGTCAGTCAAACTTCGTGCTGCACCCTTTCGTCATCATTAAATTATAGGTAATTGTGATAACTACCTGTTGTGAGCACAAAATTCTCCATGTGAAAAAGATTAAGTGAGGGGCAGGGCAGCAGTTCCCTGGAATAGTCAGCACCCGCATGCCTACAGATCAAATGGGGCGAAACTCTCTGGCTGGCACCTGCCCCTGAGACACTCATTGGAGCAGGGAATGGAGGATCCAATGAAGAAATGGGATGGTGGCTGCACTGCGATATGAAAGAGAGCAAACCGGCGGGCTGTTAATGCAGTGGCTAGGAATGTTACTGGAGTAAAGAAAACATTTGACAAATAAATTCAAAATATTTGGGGACTTCCAGAAATACTCATATGCAGCCCAATATTTGCACCTCCTACTTGTACCGATGCTGTCAGATTCTGACAGTGATGCCCACCCCTTCTGCCACTTTCCCTCTCTTCAAGGCTGACGCAGAAGCGCGCGGCTTAACTCACTCAGGCTATGCTACCAAAGCAATTTGTTGTTTTTACTGTACTCCAGTAGTTTCCTTTCCTGCCCCTCTTCCTCCTCTTCCTGCTCAGCCCCTGTCATCCCTGTACCAGCCGTGGCGATGCTATGGTAGGTTTGTACCCACCCCAAACCGGGCCACAAAGCTGGCAGAGGGAAAATGCCCAAGGGTGTGGTTGGTAATGGCAAGCAGCCGGGCGGTCAGCGATGGGCTTGGCCGGCAATTTTCCACATTCTCAGCAGCTGCTAAGCCTGTCCCTACCCAAATTTTCCTCTGGTGTTTTCCAATTGAGAGAGACGTTCTCCAGCTGGTGACTGAAGTTTAGGCAGCCTACTGTGGGTTCCATTTAGAGGAGTCGCCATCATGGGTATGGGCAGGTGGGAAAGTGGGAGGCTCTTCTCTCGCCTATAGAGCACACACACTCTCTCTCTCTCACACACACACACACACACACACACACACACACACAGACCCCATTTTAAAGCTAGAACACCTGGCCCAAATTTAACATTTTTCTTTTAGCCCTGCTACCTGTTTTTCATAATTTCTGCATGTGTCCCATTGCACGGGGTACAGGAAGGGTTCTAGCTCTATCTGCTCTGCACCCAGCAAATGAGATGCTGAAAATCCATCCTCTGTTGGGAACAGCTAACATTGCACCTTGGGAATTGAGCCTTCTACTGCCAGGCAGGGTTGGCCGACAACTTACATTCTGAGTCCTCGCTCTTGAAAAAGCCAAGGAGTTTGATGTGGTCCTCGATGCGTTCGAAGGCTTGAACCTCCAGCTTGCTGTTGATGATCTCCACTGGGTCTTCAATTAGCTGAAATGCCACACACACTTGCTCACAGATATGTTCCAACAAGGTATCTTTTCCCTCCCCATTGGGAAATGGAGCTCTTGGGAGGGAAACTGTAGTGGAATTCCTGGTTCAGACCTTGGTGTCCATCCCACTCGGCCCTGGGGAGCCCAGCAGCTATGCATTTGGAGGAATTGATCTTAACTCTAGGGGTGGAATGATTGGTCTGAAGCAAATCCTTTCCTCTTGCTAGCTTTTCTCTTTATTTTTAAATTATAAGTTGACAAATGATAATTGTAATTATATTAATGGGTTATAAAATAATATTATGAATTATGATTACACATGGGATAATTAGGTCAAACTATTTAAAATATGCATTCCCTCAAATACTTATAAATTTGGGGATGAGAACATTTGAAATTTACTCTTAGCAATTTTGAAGTGTGCAACATGTTAATTATTGTATAATCTATACTGTTCAATGCATCTCAAAAAAAAAAAATAACCTGTATTCCTCCTGTCTGGTTGCAACTTTGCACCATCTGAGGATCATCTCCCCATCCCTATACTACCCCAGTCTCTGGTACCCACCATTCTACTCTCTGCTCCTTTTGGAATTCAATTGTTTTAGATTCCACATATAAGTAAAAACATGTATTTGTCTTTCTGTGCCTGGCGTATTATACTTCACCATAATGTTCTCTGATTCCATCTATATTATCATAAATCACAAAATTTATTTTTTAAAAGTTGGGTAGTATTATGTACATGTACTATGTTTGCTTTATTTATCAGATGATGGATGCATGGGTTGATTTCATAACTTCTCTTACCACCTACTGACTCAGGACTTGGTAGTCACCCAACTCTGGTCCAGTGGGGTTAAATGTGCTAAAGACAAATGTTCTTCTTTACCCTTAAAAGAACAACGGTTTGAAGCCAGATTTGGGTTTTTTTTCCCCTCTCTCACTGGATATGAACAAGGAAATACGATGCATCACCCGCTTCTGACTATCTTAAAACTAACTTAGAAAGAATCAGCTTGAGGACAAAGGCCTCACACTGAAAACCGTATTATCTGTGATTCACAGGGCAAGAGCCCTGATTTGAGCAAGTCAAAATCTTGTCTCCAGCTTACTGCTTATGTGGGTCAATCATATTGTTCACTGTCTAAAGTAGGTAGAGCCTCATTTTCCAAAGTCTCCTAGGTGATGAAGTTGAGGCTATGCCGTGTTGGCCCAGAGTTAGGATGTCACTTCTCTAAGATTTTCAGGGTTTGCAGCAGTAGGCCAGTGAGACAGCCAAGCAGAGGCTATGGACACGTTTTGTTTTGTTTTGTTTTTTTTGCTAGAAGGTGCTGTTCAGCTCACTTCTGACCTTCTCTCTGGCTTTGAGGTTGTAGAGATAAAGCAACAGGCCGCTGGGTACCAATTGGTAGATAAGGAACAACTAGTATAGATGTTCAGCAGCAAGTTCTTTGTGCAAAATACCTGTTCCAAATCATTTAAGCTCACAGATATTATTGTGTGATCTATCTATGAATAAAATGCTTTTAGTGTTTCCTCTGTTTCTCTGAACATGTAGATCTGAGTGTTGCATTTTCATGGCTGAAAGTGACTGACTTGGGGCTACTCATGAGCCCTGGCTGTCCTTTATGCTGCTTTGAGGACACCTCAGGGTAACTCACTGAGCTATTCCTCCTCTCTCCTTGGGTGTCTGGCTATCCCCTTGGTCTCTCCACTGCCTACCTCCTCCCAGCAGCCCTGGAGCAAGCCAAGGGGATTTTGGGGGTATAACTGGTAAAAGAATTAGCAGTTAACTACTACATGGTCCAGATTTGTGAGACACAGGTCACTAACAAACAGGTTTTGGGGGCAACTTAGGGGTCAACTTCCCAGAAAAGGTAGCTAGCACTGTGATATGGGCATTGTTTAGCCTTTGTGAAGGCTGAGAGACCTGTCTTCGACCATGTCAGAATCTCCAGCTTCTCATTTTGTACTTTGGGGCTTTACTTCCCCCTATAGTTGAGTCCAGATATCTCCATGCAGGGCCACTGTGTAAAATGCTTACATCCAAGAGGAACTCCACCAAGACATCAGCTGCAAACTCGCCATCAAACTCAATTGTGCGATCTCCCTTAATAATATAGAGGCTTCCTTCCTCATCGAAACCTGGAAGAAACAAAAAGGCCCAAGGACAAATCACTCTGAGTGATTGTGGGGTCAAGATCAGTGGATCTAGATTTAACCTAAGGACCAGTTATGTCAAAACAACACTACCGAGGGGCCTGCAAGTAGGCATTTAAATTGAAATAAGAACTAACGGCTTCACCTGGATTTCAATTTTAAATTTTAAAATTATTTCCAACCCTGCCACTACTTTAGTTTTCCAAAAATGCTGCTGAACCCATATTATTCTCCTTATTGAAAACTTTTAATACCCACTGCTCATCTGATTCCTTAGCCTGGCATTCAAGTCCCTCTACCATCTACTGCCAACCGTGCTACTGCCATTCCTCCTTGGCCTGACCCACAGTTCTTTGAGAACTGGTCCCTGGTCCCTTGTTTAATCCATTTGGTTCTTGTTCATGTGCTGATATGAAAGGATATGCGAAGTAGATATACAAGTGTGTGTACTCATGTTCTCCTTGTTCCGCCAAACTGCAGTGACCTCCATCCCAACTCATCCTGGTCAGTTCCTTCGGGACTCAGCTTATGACTTATTTTTCCTAAGGTCGGTCCAGTCACAATGAGCTCAAGCATTAACAGTCTGTAGGTACTTGTGTAGCAGTACCTCCTGCGAGGGTAAGATCCTTGTCTTGTTGGTATCTCACAGAGCCTACACACACTGTTCAGTGCCCCATAAATGTATATGTCTCCACTGAATAGCTTGTATTCCTACTCTAGCAGAGTCACACACTGCCTCTCTACCCGATTAGCTGACAGGTCCTGTAAGGGCCAGCTCCATCTTCTCTTCTGCTACCCTCCAGAACCCTTGGTGTGATGTTGTGTATTTTAACAAATGCTTGCTGGAAAACTGCATTTTCCCTCAGGAATGCCAAACAGCTGAAGCTGGCACTCATTCCAACTGCACAGCATCTTTAATTCCTTAGATTAATTGTTTTCAAACTCTCTATTAGCGAGAGAATGCTTTCTCCAAATAACCTCTTCTGAAGACCCTCCAAGGACAGGAAGGCTGGACTTCTGCCTGCTGTCTGTCTCCATGCTCCTCTGAGGAGCCCTTGGCACACTGTAAACTGAAAGGAGCAAATGAGGTATTCTTGAAGCTGGTAATGGCTGATCTCTAAAGGTCCCAGGGGGAAGGGACATCCGCCAGTGTCCTTCTGCTAGATTTTGCACTGAGCTCAACCAGTTAGGAGGTTTTTCAAGTAGTTCAGGCATAGCCCACTGGAAGCCAGGTGGTTGAGGCAAATGGAAGAGGGGATAAAGATGAGGGCCAGATTCAGAAATAAGACTATGTCCTGTGAACCCCAGGGCTCCAGCAGCCTGAGGAGCCTGCCTCAGTCCCACCAAGCTCAGGTCGCTTGTTTATGTACTGGGGATGGAGCCCAGGGCTTTATAATGCTAGGCAGTGCTCTGCCAGTGAACTTGGAACCTTCCCTTCTAACCTGATCTTGGAGAGAATTTATTTATACATATTAAGCCCCATCCTGTCTTCTGCTAGTTCATTTTTATCTGTTCATGCAGTTTGTCCTCCCTGGATTTATATATTGCCAGAACACTAGCAATTTTTTCCCTCAATTTACTGAAAAGTCTCCAGAATGCAACATACGCAGTAGAACAATGGAAAGGGAGGTGACTAGGTATCACTTGGCTGTTGGAGAGGAGGAATTCATTAAATTGTTTTCGACTCGAGGAAAAGCATTTAATGTATTTTGTTTCCTGGTTCAAGGAGAAAAACAGTATTCCTTGACGTGTCTTCAGGCACAGTGACATCCCCGGCATTCTTAATATGTCAGTATCGTTTTACAGCCACAGTTCGTCCTTTGTCTAATTTGTCTCCTATAACTTAAATATCTGTTCAGAGGCCAGTCTTCTAAAAAATCAAATAAAAAATAGTTGTCTGTGAGTTTCTAGGATAATAAATTTTCATATACTTGAGGTATTTATTGAAGCACTGATGAACTTATCTCTCTGTGCTTAGCATTGCAAATCCAGTTAACCTCTCTTCAAAGGTCCTGACTTATAACCTCCTGCTATTTTTTTAATAGCCACCCTCCACCAGTCATGCAGAAAAAGCCAAACAAGGGTTGGGGATTTAGCTCAGCAGTTCGGTGGCCTGCCTTGCAAGTGCAAGGACCCTAGTTCAATCCCTGGTACCAAAAAAAAAGGCCAGAGGCAACACCCAAGTGAGGGTGTTCAGAAAGCGGGAGTTATCTCTATCCTCCCTCCTGGGGATTACAGGGTAAGAGTCTTAAAGAGTATTTGCATTTAAGCATGTTGTATTGGCACAAGAGATTACAACTTCCATTGTGCATCACTTAACCATATTTACCGAAAGCCTCCCTCTCATCTTTGGTGATAAAGTCCAGCTGGGGTTTATGCTTCACTGAGGAAGCCCTGAGACCCTGGGGTTGCTATCTCTAGGGTTATTTTTATTGGCCGCTTCTGCCCAGAGACAAGGAAATCACAGGTGATGGAAGAAGAGAGTGTAACTCTCCTAGGGAGATCTCTGTGTGTTGTGACAGAGGAGAAGGCATTTCAGTACTTCAGGAACTAGAAATGAAGGCTTGGGCCTTTAGCATCAGCTTTTCAGGGAGACCTTCTTCATGACCCTGACACAAAGACATATTAAATGATTGGTGTGAAACCACTCAATTCAGGCCTAGATTTACTTCTTTGAAACTCTCAACCCAAGGTAGGTGAGATTATTTTATCCATATTAACATTACAAACCCGTTATCATGCAAGAGTAAAGGCAACTGTGCTATTTTTGTTGTTGTCGTTGTTTTGCAAGACACAATTGTTTCTGAGAGATCTCAAGCATCACACTTACCCAGTTTCTTGGCAAGCTTGGCTTCTTTCTTGGCATCCACTGTCACAAAGCCTATATCTTTATGTTCCAGGACCTGGGCCACGAGCTGTAGGGATAAATAGGATAAGTGGACTAGTGGCAGAATAGAGAAACCACAGGACAATATGTACTTGTACTAACAGGAGAGTTTTCCTCCAAACTTCCTGCTACTCTGTGACCAATTCAAGCCAGCAGAGGGATCCTATACTTGTCCCTCAGGAGAAGGATAAGTCAGCAAAGTTCCATGATAAAACATCTGAAGGACAGAATGAAGAAGGGAGATTTGGAAGACTAGAACACTGTCACATGCTTTTGCTGCCTTAAGGGTGGGAGAGAGGACAATGGGAAAGAAAGCAGAGTTCTCTGACATCCGTGGATACTGGACACCCTTGTCACCCTGAGCCCTCTCTGGCTGCCAATTAAACCTGGGGTGGGGACGCAAGGAGAAAGGAGGCCCATGCCCCATTCCATGCACAGCCCCCTTCTCCCTGGGCTGGAGGAGTAGGAATACCCAGGAGGCCTTTGTGGTGATTGAGTCTGATGGCCTCCGGATGTTTCCTGCAGCCCACTGAGAGGAAGAACTAGAGAGTAGTGAGTGGGGGGCAGAGGATCATCAGACCCAAAGGTGAGGAAGATGCTGCAGGGTCCTAGCTGGACAGATGGCCAAAATCTACTCTGGGCAGGCAGCAGTATAGAAGATGACATTAAGTGCAAAACTGACATCGTGTAAAACTCCTGAAACTTAGGCATGAGCCCGTAGGGAGACCTGCCATTGACTGAGATCTAATTCCTGCCACCTGGATGAGAGTAGGCTTGAAGGAGGAACAGGCTGAGTTTACCACAGGGATCATGAAATACTAATACTACTTTTTTTTTACAGTGCTGAGTATCAAATCTAGGACCTCATACTTGCTAAGCAAGTGCTTTACCTTTGAGCTAAAACCTGCTCAAATGCCACTTTTGTAAAAAATAAAACTTTATACAACAGCATTAATTAAAACACACTTTGGCTTCTCCTGACCCAGCCGCCATCACTCAAGTGCCGGGAGGTAGCCGCGCGGGTGCCCCTGAACCCCCATAAGCTGCCCCCCCACGCCCACGCATTCTCAGACCTCCTGACTGTGCCAGTCTTTGGACCCACTCTGCAGAGGAAGAGGTGGTCATCAAGGGTATTTTTCTGAGTTCCCAACTTTGAACATCTTTAAAGAAAAGGCATGGGAAACCTATAATAGAATGTTGTGGAGTTCAACCATTCAGAAGGATGGGGAACTCATTCTGGGCCTTGCAGCCCAAGGTCAGTCAGCATCATGGGGTTCAACAATCAGCTAACTGAGATCAGGGGTCTTCCATCCTTGCTCTTTCTGAGCCATTAAATGGTTAATATACTATATTGAAAAGTTTGTTCACTGCAGTTATGTTCTGGACTGCTTCTTGATTTCAATTTAATTCAAATGATTTAAGGGTGATAGACTAGTGACTACCACAGGTGGTCAGTGTCCAAGTTGTGCTTGATCTTAATGTGTTGCCCATTGTATCAGTTGGGATAAAGCATTGCAGTTGATTTGATGAGCTGTTTTCTCTGATGTTATGAAGATGAGAATGTCTGTGGGTCGTTAGAGACCCAGAAGCTAGGGCACAACTATATCAGGAAGATTTGGGTGATAACCCAGAGATTAAACCAAGGACAGTCCAACAACAAAAATAAAAATGAGAAAACACTTAAGCAAGACACAAGGACAGACCTCCAGTTCACCAATGGCAAACAGTAGGGCAAATGAGGATGAAAAGGCCGATAGTGAACCACCAGGACACCCTGAACTCAAAGCACAGGAATTAACAAAACAGATCAATCAGGCTCTAGAAAAATTCAAAACAGAAATAATTTCCCAGATAACCATAGACATAGTAAGAAAAATGAAAGTCGTGATTCGAGACTCTAGAGCAGAAACTGATGAAAAAAATAGATGAGCTCAGGACCATGATAGAAGCTATGAAGGCCCAACATAAGAAAGAAATGGAAAAAATAAACGCCCAACATAGGAAAGAAATGGAATCCATAAAACAGATTCAGACATCCAGGAGATTAAACACTCCATAGAAAGTGTACGCAACAGAATAAGAGAATGCAAAGATAGACTCTCAGGTATAGAAGATAAGATTGCAGTCAGTGACCATGAAAAGAGAGATCTCTTAAAAACAGTAAGGTGAAAAAGTAAAAAGAGTCAACAAAAGGCCAATAACATAATAAGTCAGTACATACCAGTTATAGCCAGCAATGTCAATGGCCTCAACTCACCAATCAAGAGAAATAGACTGGCACGATGGAATAAGAAGCAACATCCAACAATATGTTGTATACAAGAAACACACCTAGTGCAAAAAGAAGCCCATAGACTGAAAGTGAAAAGATAGAAAACAATTCTCCATGTGACAGAAGCCCCGAAAAAAACAGAGGTAACAATCTTATTTGCAGACAAAGTAAATTTCAAACCAAAACTGATTCTAGTATTATTGATGTAGGACGGTACTGTATCATACCTCTATGAATGTAAAATATCTTGTACCTGCTTTATGATACATAGTAGGGACTGTGCTTTATCAGAGCTACATTTAATGATATTACTCTAGAATGTTCTCTTTCCAGATGATGATTAAGATACTAATAAAAAAAATGGTGCCAGGTACCACAACAACAACAGAACTTTGCTGTTTTCTGGAAAGAAAAAAAAAAACACACTTTGAAGAAATTACACAGAGTAATCTTTTCTACGCTTATCTAGTTAGGTTTCCCCCACTAATAAGATCAATATGGAGATACCTCAAAGAGCTGGGATTAGAGGTTCCATTTGACCCAGCCATCCTGCTGCTTTTAATTCCAAAAGAATTAAAAGAATCATATCACAGTAATGCATATGCACCCATGTATATAGTGGCACAGTTTGTAATAGCTAAAACTTGGAAAGAGACCATTTGTCCGTCAGTTGGAGAGTGGATAAAGAAGATGTGGTTTTTCTATAAAATGGAATACTACTCAGCCATAAAGAATGAGAAATTAGTCATTCATAGGAAAATGGATACATACTGAGGATATAATCCTAAGTGAAATAAATAAATCACACATGTGTAAATACTGAACAGTTTCTCTGGTGTGAAAAACTATAATGGTACATAAGATCCTAATGCTATAATTGACAATGTGAAATAGGAAGAAAAGGGCTAAAGGTGTAGGGGAAGTGGGAAGGGTAGGGGAAAGGAAATAAGGAAAAAGAAAAAAATCAGAAAATGAAAAAAATGGAAATAAAGTATTTGTAAATAGGGAAGGGATGAAGGGGTGAAGGGAGGGCAGGGGGAAGGAGGAAAAATGAGAATCATGACCTGTCATGTAAAGGTACAAGATCCAAATGATGAATGTAACTGTACTGTATACCGAAAAAGTACCAATAAACTCAATGAGAAAAATAAAAAGATCTTGAAAACTGAGATACAGCATCACAAAGTGCTTTCACACTGATACAGTTAATTAAGCCTTAGAATGTCTCCATCACCTCTAGGGTCTCTCTATTGTCACCACTGCTTCTGGTCCCATCCCACTCCTTCATCCTAGGAAACCACAAATTAACCTGCTCTGCATTTGTGTAATTTTGTCATTCCAAGAATGTCATATAAGTAGAATTGTGTAGTATGTACCCTGTAGAGATGGATTCTTTTCATCCATCGTAATTATCCAGAGATTCATTCAAGTTGCTGGGCATGTAAATAGACTACTACGCCTTGCTGAGTACACTTCCATTTTGTGTATGGACCACAGTGTATATAACGTTGGCCCCTTGAAGGGCATCTAGGTTGTTTCCAATTACTGACTTTTGGTAAGAGAGCTGTGGAAAGATACCTGTCTGGGTTTTTGAGTTAAATATTAGTCTTAATATTAGTCTTAGCATAATCGCCATGTTGTATGGTGTTTTCGTGTTTAATATTTCCTGAAACTGCCAACTCTTCTCCAGAGAGGTCGCACTATTTTATATTCTCATGAGCAATGTCTAAGTGATCCAGCTTCTCCACATCCATGGAAACATTTGGCAGCATCACTATTCTTCTTTAATTTTAGTCATTCTGATAGGTATGTAATGATATCTCATTGTGGTTATAATTTGCATGCTCCCAATGGCTTGTGATTTTGAGCATTCTTTTCCACGTGCTAATTTTGCCACATATGCTCTCTTCTATTACTGAGCTATTTTCTAATTGGGTTATTTTTTCATTGTGAAGATTTTAGAGGTCTTCAGTGTTAGCTTTTTTAAAAATATGTACTTTATAAATATTTTCTCCAACAGTGTAACTTGTGTTTTCATCTTTTTAACCAGCCTTTCACAGAACAAAGTTTAAAAATATTTATGAAGCCTCATTTAACAATTCTTCAATTATAGATTGGGTTTTTGACGTTAAATCTATTCTTGACCTAACCCTACACCCTGATTTTTTTCTACAAGTTTTATATTTTACATGTAAGTCTATGACCTATTTATTTTGATTAAATTTTGTGTTAAATATGGGCCAGGTTGAGGCTCTTGTTTTTTTGCAATAGATGTCCAACTGCTCCAACACCTTTTGTTGAAGGTTGTCTTTCATCCATTAAACTGTGATTGCACTTTTATTTTTTTAAAAATCAGTGGGATCATTTGTAAGTTCTCTGCTTTTGGTCTCTCTATTCTGCTCCACTGATTTGTGTGTCTCTCTGTCAGTATCACATAGTTTGAATTCCAATAGCTACACAATAAACCTTGAAAGAAGATAGACTATCTCTTCCTACCTTATTTTTCTTTTTCCACATTGCTTTAACTATACTAGTTCATGTTTATACCTACAAAAATTCTGACTACCATTTGGTAGAAATTGAATTAAAGCTATATATCAACCTGGGGAGAATGGCATATTTACTAAGCTGACTCTTCTAGTCATGAAAATGATATATATCCCTATTTGATCTTTCTGGATTTCTTTTACCAGCATTGCCAAGTTTTCAGTATAAAAAAATGGGCTTTACTAGACTCACATCAAAATACTATTTTG